ATAAATATTGAATAATTCTAATTTCTATTTGGCTGTTTCAAGACATGGATAATCTCTTACGATTGTATTTGAAAACCCCAACTTTTGATTTCAGTTGTCATCCTTCAATTTTAAGGTAACAGGTTAATTACTTATACATTCTGTGACTGGCATTAGAAATTTTCACTGATAATACCTGTCCCAAGAAAATAAGTTGTTCTACAAAGATGTCAAAGAATTGTGTTAATTCATCATTGATACATTTATACTGATTATTTGAAGCCCTGGTGTGGCACTGTAGGAAAGCACTGGACCATAAGGTTGTTTGAACCACAAGGTCAGCAGTTCAAACTCCACGGTTCAAACTCACCAGCCACTCCTAGGAAACCCTGTACAGCAGCACTATGAGTCGGAACCTGCTTGATGGCCCTTAGTATTTAATTTTGAATTTTCACAATAAAGACAATCCTTCAGAAACACTGTTAATTGTGGATTTATTTCAGATGTCCTTATTTTTACAACATTCTCTGAATCTTTAAGATAAAAAAGAAATAAACTGAGGAAAATTGCAACTCTCCTTGTAAAGAGCTGACTTAAAGTAACTTTCATGCATCTTCACAGAAAGGATATCACATAAGTAAAGAATGATTCTCTCAGTAGCAGTACACTAAGACTGCAACAACTTCCACAGACCAGTTTTTTAAACTTCTCTTCCACTTATGCCACAATGTAATTCAATAGTAGCAAAGCTATGGTGAACTAAATTGATATGGTTCAGATGGCAGGTTGTTTTCTGTTCTCAATTCACTGAAGGATAGTTTTTAGACTTAGAACTATGCTCTCCAAACTTGTTTTGAACACATGTCCCAACATTTAGACAATTTTGAGCAAACACCATACTCTGTAAATTCATAAACTACATACATATAGGAGTCCTGGTGTGGCGCTGTAGGATAAGCACTGGAGTGCAAAGTTGGTTTGAAAAACAAAGTCGGTGGTTCAAACTCACCAGTCACTACTTGAAAACCCTATACTGGGTCAGAACCGATTCAACAGCACTTAATAACAACAGCAACAACAATGTATTACTGTACTTATTTTTGTACTACAAAATATATATACATTGGACATTTTAAAAGGATGATATAAATGCCTAACATTAATAATAGTTTTAAAGTTTTGTTTCTCTACTTCTTGTTTCATTTGGTACATCCCTTGGGAAGACACACTCTACTTTGAAGATCACAAATACACTCTTTCATTAATGGCTTTTTTTCAACTAGGCTCTTAAGTAAATGATTTTTAAGTAAACATCTCTGTCCTGCAGAGTTCCTGGTAAGTTCCAGTAAGCAGTCAACCTAACAGTTAGCAGTTAAGTGTTTCAACCACTATACCACCAAGGATACTTCAAAATCTGCGGTTGCTGTTAAGTGCTAGTTGAGTTGGTTTGACTCATAGCAACCCTGTATAGGGTTTCCAAGGAAGGGCTGGTGAGCCTACTGCTGACCTTGCAGTTCACACGGACCTTGCTGTCCAGCTCTTTACCCCGCAGCGCCACACCAGGACATGATTTCAAGGTTCTATTCTCACAAGTACCTGAACTATAGCTACAAAGCTGGATAGTGCCGAGTTACATACTTTTATAGGTTATGGTGGGGAGAGGGACAGCGTCTTAGGCAGGTTAAGGAATTGAACTAGAACACACATTTGGTTAGCATTCTGTTGTCCCTCTACAGAGGTGGGTCACTGAGGTGCCTGGAACAAAGAACAGGGATGATGAAGGCTTGATCTGGGCCATAGTTCATAGATGAGGTATTCTATATTTCTATCTAAAGACATATTCTTGCTATATCTAGACATTTGCCAATACATATGATTTCCAACTGGTAATATCCAAGTTTACAAATAGTTTTTTTTTTTTTTTAATCCCTTATGTGAATACAGTGTTTAAATGGTGGTGATTAAATAAAAAAATACATTGTTGTTTCAGTTAAAAGACCATTGATTTAACCACTGAGCTACTAAGCTTCCTCTTACAGCTTTGGAAACCTGATGGGGAAGCTCTTCTTTGGTCTATAGGTTGAGTCGGAATCAACTCAACAGCAAAAGGTTTGGTTTGGGTTTATGGATGTAATTCTTTCAATCCACAGATGGCCTAGATGAGAGAGAACTAACAGTTGGGAAGAGTCTACATGCAAACATGGTGCTTTGGGTTTTATAGACATTATACCAAGTACTTTTCAAAGCATTCCTTCAATAGTGATCATTATTATCCACATTTCATAGATTAGAAAATGAAAAGTTGGGGAGCTGGGGAGTCAACATCAAGGTCACAGTCAAGACTCAGACCTAAGAATGTTGCTTCAAAGCCTAGATTCCTTCCACTGCACTGGAAAAGGGGATAAAATAACTAATCCAAGGGCATTCAGATGAAATGCAGTCTATAAATCAACTAACTGCTTTTAATTCTAAAAGTTGAATAAAGTATTATAAGTAATAATTACAGGGGGTAAAAGCGAAAACTTTGGAATAGATTAAGACTTCTCTCCAGTTCTGTATTATTTTCAATAGTTCAAAACTGTTCCCCCTTTCTATTCCCTTTGCCTATACCCCAAACACAAAGACTAACAGAGTCAGAGTTGACTCCACAGAATGTAATTGACTGCTATGCTTGGATCTTTATCAGAGCATTGCTCAACCCTCCCTCCTACTAATCTTTGCCAGAAAACAGCATAATTCCAAAAGACTCTTAATAGAACTGAAAGTAAACAAACTAAATAAACATCATAAATAACTCCTCCTTAAAGCTGTGTCTTTAAGTTGAATTTGTAGGCTAAGTCTGAACAGGTACACACGGTTCTTATTTGTTCTTAATTTAGCACATGATTTTAAAATTGTAGGTACAAGTGAAGGTGATTGTGATGAAGAATTCACTGTGAGAAGGCACTGTAGGGTAAGTACTGGGCTGCAAGGTCGGCAGTTCAAACTTATTAGCAGTTCATTGGAAACCCTATACAGGGTAGCGATGGGTCAGAACTGATTCGATGGCACTTAACAAGAAGAAGACGAAGAATAACAACAGGGGATGATTCAAGGAGCATTGGTGGTGCAGTGGGCTAGGTGTTGGGTTGTGAACCCCAAACTCAGCAGTTCAAACCCACCAGTAGTTTGAGGGAGAAAGATGAGGCTCCCTGCTCCTGTAAAGATTTACAATTTTGCTGAGTCAGAATCGACTGGATGGTGGTGGGACTTTTTTTGGATGGCTTGGTTCAGTTGTTTCAAAATAAGGGCAAATTTACGTAACATTAAACGGCAAGTTCAGAACTGTCAGTCAATTAAGTTTTTCATAGGGGGCTGTGGGAGGAATTTTACCGCAAATAGTTGTTGTTAAATGCCATTGAGTCAGTTAGGACTCTAAGGGCTACAAAGGAGCAGCTGGTGAATTTGAACCACCAACCTTGTGGTCCAGTGCTTATCCTACAGCACTACACCAGTACTGTAAATAGCTCTAAGGGTTAAACTAAAGTATACTTCCAAAATACAGTTAATTCCATTAACAAACTAGAAATCAGATTTCATAATCAGCTCAGACTCCATATCTGCTTCAGAATCAGATATGGGGGAACTAGACAACCTTCCAAGAAGCCCTGAAGGCATAATGGGTTACATTTTACGCTGCTAACCACAATGTCAGCAGTTCGAATCCACCAGGTGCTTTTGGGGGGTGGTGGTGGTGGAAGATGAGGCTTTCTGAACCATAAAGATTTACAGCCTCTGGAACTCTACTCACGGTCACCGAGTCTGAAACTGACTTGACAGCACACAGCTAGCCAGACAAGCTTCCTAATAACAAGAACTGCAAAAGACAGATTTAACTATGTTGGGGGAAAAAAAGGCCACTTTTGGGGTAGTACTTTAACCTTTCATTTAAAATAACTTATCTCACTTGATACTCTTAGGCTTGAACGATACCTCAAAAGATCATTGATTTTAGCCTCCAGTCAAGTATTACTGCCCATTTATAGGTGATGTGCCTTGGAGTAGGTTCCGACTCAAGGAGACTCTTGACTAGGGTTCTCGAGGCTGTAAATCTTTATGGGAGCAGAATGCCTCATCTTTCTCCCGCGGAATCGCTGGTAGTTTCTAACTGCTGACCTTGAGGTTAGCAGCCCGATTCCTAATCACTACGCTACCAGTCAGACCTTCTTTAATAAAAGTTGGAAGGATTGCCAACTTATTTTTTCCAACTAGAACACTTATAACATTTACTAGGTATCCTCTAAGAATCAAGCGCATGCTATCTTTAACTCTCACATGACCACCTTTTTACAGAAACTAAGTCAGAGATCTATGTAGGATTTCGCCCAAGGTCATACCTATAGGAAGTGGCCGAGCAAAATTAAAATCCAGGTCTGTCTACACATTAAGATCCAAGTAGAGCTTGCTTAGTAACTTCATAGATAAGGTTAGATTTAAAGAAGTAAAAAAGCTATGGGATGAGGAAAGACTCACACCATCTGAAAGCCGGGTAACCCTTGCAGTTTGCGGGAGGGCTCCATCTGCAGGCCTCGGTCAGCGGCGCTAAAGGAAGCATGACCTTTACTCCAAGCCCTCCAGTTCCACTGGCCACCTAGCTTGCTCTGCTCAGCGTGGGCAAACACACCACCATTCATGACGGGAAAACGGGAGAACGAAAGGTTTCGAAGCCGACCAGGCACTTTCGTCGGGGCAGAAATTGAGAAGGATCAAATTCGAAAACTCGTCTTGGTTTGAGTTGTGCATTAGCAAAGGATGCAACAAAGGCCGGGAAGGACGCTGGCTTTAGAACAGTTGGGAGAGATGTTGGAGACGTCGAAGTAAAATACAGCAGCTGGGAGGGTATACGGACGGGTTCATTTGGGGAGAGGGGTTGAGGGGCTTCAGGGACTGCCTCTAGCCACAGAGTTATTAGTGGACAGCTACTGGCATTTCGGAGGGAGAGGAAGGGAAGGTCTCGGTGGGGGCCATTCTGGCACCATTACCTGCCGGGTGGTTGTACAATGGCCTCAATTTCTCGGGCAGCATCAGCTCCACTTTATCCAGAACCCGATGGTAGGTGGCCCGCAGGCCTCTGGCGCCGGCGGCCGCCATCTAGTAATTGTGGGCAGCCGGAAGGAGGACTCGCTGTGTCCTTCTTTATGGTTGACAACGAAGGGCAGCTCGTCACTTTCCCCTGTCACGGCGTGTCGCGTCCTCCTCTCCCCTAGGGCGCCTTTACTGCGGTGCAACTTGCTCCCTGCCCGCCACCCTAGGGACCCGGCTCAGCAAAGGCTGAGGGGGAGGAGGCTCCGAGCTGGTCCGCCCCCGGTCCGCCTCCTGCCCTGGGTAGGGGGAGGAGTCATGGCAACAGGTGTCAAAGACATTGCCTCATCAAGTCACCCAGAGTACTGTTGGCTGCGCGCTTGCGCAGACTAAGGTACCCTCCGTGATTGGCCTGCTCCGCGGCTCTGGCAGGGTCGGGCGGGAGCGTCCAACTTCTCCTTTTTGCCCTCGAGGCCATGTTGAAGAAGGGAAAATGAAGCTGCATCCTGCTTCTAATCTCCCTTCACTTTGCTTTAAGGAGGCCCATAGTTGAAAATGGGCTTTTCGGGACTTTCGTGCCCTAACTAAAGATGACGCCGCACTACTCTTTTCCTTCTTTTGACATGAGATCCATGTGCAAGAGACTACAGACCTCAGCTCCCTGTTTCTTCACTCCTTGTTTTTACCAATAGAAAACTAAAAATGTTGCTAGAACGGCCTGAAACCACTTTCCTAGGGTGAGGGCAGCTGTGGCACACACTTGGCCTCAGTCTCGGCGGCTGTCGTTATCTCGCGAGAAAGACTCGAAGGGGAGGGTGTCGAAGGGGAATGGGAGGAGCCCCGGTCACCTCCGCCCCCTGTTGGAGGGGGCCGGGGGAGGGGACTGTTGCTGATCTCTGGATGTTCTAGGTAGTCTGAGGAAGAGTATGAGGCGAGCTCCGGCCCGGGTGCGGCCGGGCTTCGGAAGCGAAGCCGCCGCTGCCACCATCTAAGTCGCTGTGCCCGCGAGGGCCGGCGCGCGGATGGTGCCGGTGCGGCTTGGGTGTTGATCCGCGTGTCCCCTCCCTCTCCTCCCCTCCCCCACTCGAGGGGGGGGTCTCCCCTCCAACCCCGGCTCCAACAGAGCCATGTCTCGGGGTGGCTACTGCCCACACCTGTTGTGGGACGTAAGGAAAAGGTCCCTCGGTCTGGAGGACCCGTCCCGGCTGCGGAGCCGCTACCTGGGTGAGCGGGGACCCCGGGGCGGAGGCGCTGAGGTCGCCGCCCGTGTTGGGGGAGGGGGCTGCGTCGTGGGGGCTGTTGGAGGTGGGACTGCGCCTTAGCAGGGGAGCCCCGGAGTCTCGGGTGCTTGGTGGGACCCTGATCGACGGACCCCGATCTTGTGTCCTTCTAAGACCAAGCCCCCGTTTCATGCAGCCAGCCAGCCGCCGCCCTTTCTGGGTTTTCCTCGGGGAAGGTGGTCGGGGGCGGGCTACTGGCGAGGAAAGGTGTTAGGGTCGGCTTCTCGGGTGGGGTTCCGGAGGGCTTGGTCAATGTCACGGAGCTGTTACGTTTGGAGAGAAAGTTGGCTCTTTTTAGCTCTTCTCCTTTCTCCCGGCTTAAGGACCCAAGTTTTTGTTGATCCCCCTCTCCCCTCCGTCTCCGGAGGATTTGCGTCGGCTGCGACTCGTTCACTACCCTCGGGGACTTCACGGTCCAAACAGACTCCGCGAAAACTGTTCTCTGGCTCTCAGCCCAAACCGAAAAGTGATAGCTGAGCACTGTCTCCACCCCCGCGCACTCCCCCAGTGCCACTCTGCAGTTCAGTTCGGTTTGACCGCCCTAAGGTGGTGTAGGGTTTCACGTTCCTATTCCCACTCCCTTAAAACACACTTGGCATTTTATGTTTCTTAATCAAGCTTTCTAAAAACAACCCTCAATACTTGAGGGAACAGCCTTCTACTATTTTTCGTTTTCAATACCCTGTTTTTGTGACAATTCTGGGTCACGCCTGAGCTAACTTTAAAACGTCCAGTTTCTTAAAAAGGGAACATACTCAGTAAGGATCTTTTTTCAGTAAGGACAGATACAGTAAGTTTTTTCTTTTATTCTCTTAATATCAGAGTTTCAGTCTCCACCCCTGCCCAGTGCGTATGTGTTTATTAAGATAAGACGAACAACATCAAATGAAATTTTTTTTCTTTGCAGTTTTGCCACTCTTTGCTATTTGTGGCTATCATTTTGTTTTGATGTCAGTAGGAGAAAATGAAATCTAATTAACAGTCACCAGTTATCTGCTGACTGAATATTCTTTTAGACCTTTTTCTTCGCAAACTTGCAAGGACGTGTGTACTTACGTTGAATGTATGTGTGTCCTGCATACATGGTGTTATATTGTTAGCCTTTTTTTCTGCCATTGCTTTCCTACACTTCATCTTAGAAAGCTTTCCATGGCAGTTAAAACAGATTTTTAAACTATTGTATAGTATTTAGTAGTGCAGTCAACCTTTCCACTTAAATGGACATTTGCTATTACCATTTGCATTGCACGGAACATCCTTGTACATACATGCCTTTTGTCAGTTTGTTAGGAGCTCTGGTACCATAGTGGTTATGTGCTGTGACGTGACGGCACTTAACAACAACAAGTACCTGGCAAGTACCTGGTGGTGGTGGTGGTTATATGCCGTGGAGTTGGTTCCAACTCATAGTGACCCTGTACAGGGCTTCCGAGGCTGTAAATCTTTACTGGAACAGAATGCCTCATCTTTGTCCAGCGGAACAGCTGCTAGTTTCGAACTGCAGACGTTAAGGTTCGCAGCCCGATTCGTAACCACTACACTACCAGTTGTTGTTAAGTGCCGTCGAGTCGATTCCAACCCATAGGGACCCTGTACAGGGTTTCCGAGGCTGTAAATCTTTACGGGAGCAGAAAGCCTCATCTTTCTCCCGCGGAACAGCTGGTAGTTTTGAACTACTGACCTTGCGGTTCGCAGCTCAATTTGTAACCACTACACTACCAGAGCTCCTTACTACACTACTAGAGTGGTGATTAATTATTTTCATATTAAAATTTAGAATTATAGTGTGTTTTTTTTAACCATTAACCTCAAAGCTGTTTATTATTCAGGGGCTTCAGAAAGTTCTTGGGAAAATTCTGTTATCTTTTAATTCCATTTTTCCACGAATTTTTTGACGCCCCCTCATATTTCTTTTAGAATTTACTTTTTTAGAAGGAACTTAATTTTAGATTAATAAAACAACCTTTAACACTTTTGCATGAATTCTTAATTTACTCCTTTATCTCTGTATTGACAGTTTAAGGAGCTCTAGTAGAGTACCAGTTACAAGTCCGGCTGCTAATCTCAAGGTCAGCAGTTCAAAACTACCAGCCATTCTTTGGGCTAGCTGTTCTTTCTATCCTACACAGTGTCACTAAGAGTCGGAACCAACTCCATGGCACATAACCACCACCACCACCCATAGTTTAAATTAGTATTTACTTTTAAATTTATATATTTTTCTTCTATTTCAGTTTGTGCCACTGTCTCTGTGATCAAGTTCATTAAAATATAACGGGATTTCACCTTTTCTTTTTTTCTTTCCCATTCAAACCCCTTAAAAGGAGACCTAGTGGTAAAGTGGTAAAAGCACTTGTTTCCTAACTGAAAGGTCAGTGGTTCCAACACATGAGTTGCTCCAAGGGAGAAAGAGGTGACACTGCTTCTGTAAAGATTTACAACCCAGGAAACCCTATGGGGAAGTTCTGCTTTGTCATATAAGGATGCTATGAGTCAGAATTGACAAGATGACAGTGGGTTTGGGTTTTTTCTTATACTCTCCAGTGAGGTGGAATTTATGTGTTGGGTAGGGGGCAACTGAAGATGAGGTTTTCTGCTCCTGTAAAGATTCACAGCTTTGAAAATCCTATACAAGGTTGCTATGAGTAGGAATCAACTCCATGTTAGTAGGTTTGAGTTTTTGGTTTGTCACAGTGTTGTTGTTGCTGTAAGGTGCTGTGGATTTTATTTTGACTTTTAGCGACCTGTGCACAACAGAATGAAACATTACCGGTTCTTGTGCCATCTTCACAATTGTTGCACTTAAGCCCATTGCTGCTGCCACGGTGTCAATCCATCTCCTTGGGGGTCTTCCTCTTTTTCAAAAAATTATATCCTTCTTCAGGGACTGGCCCCTCATGGTAACATATCCAAAGTATGAGAGATGTCTTGCTATCCTGGCTTCTAAGGAGCATTCTGGCTGTGCTTCTTCCAACATTGATTGGTTTGTTCTGGCAGTTCATGGTACTTTCAGTATTCTTCTCCATAACTCAAATGCAACAAATCTTCCTTATTCATTGTCCAACTGTAACCTGAATATGAGGGTGACCATGGCTTGGATCAGACACACTTTATGAACAATTGTCTGTGGACAGGTTCCTTATGAGTAGTGTTCTGGAATACCCATTCTTCACAATATTATCCATAGTTTGTTATGAACCACACAAGTGAATGCTTTTGCAAATTCAATAAAGCACAAATAGATATCTTTCTGGTATTTTCTACTGTCAGCCAAGACTCACCTGGCACCAGCAACCATGACCCTCATTCATGTGCTTTTCTGAATCTGACTTAGATTTCTGGCAGCTCCCTATAAATGTACTGCTGTGACCCTTTTTTAATTATTGTCAACAAAATTTTACTTGCATTTGACATTAATGATATTATTCAATGATTTATACATTCCTTTAGGTCACCTTTCTTTGGAATGGGCAGAAATATTTAGGAGAAAGGATATGAATGTTTACTTGAAGCCTCCAGATTCACAAGATTCACCTGAGCATATAGATTTTGACATAGTCTGCATTTAAGGGAAGTTAGGGTTTGTAATCCTTTTTGTTTTTTTTTTAAGTAATATTTTATTGTGTTTATACAGAAAATTAGCTATCTTTATGAGCTTGATCTGTGTTCCTATATAGGATTTTCTTTTAAGTAATTATATTGTTTGGAGTCAGTGACAACTATAGGTTTAAATGTTATTGTGTTTTAGGTATTGTATGATAGTTTCAGGTTAGTGCTTGTAATTATTCAGTGATTATTATAATTTATTGTTGTTGTTGTTAAGTGCCACTGAGTTGGGTCCTACTCATAGTGATCCTGTATAGAGTTTCCAAGGAGTAGACGGTAAGCTTAAATCACCGACCTTACAGTTCAAACCAACTTTGCAGTCCAGCGCATCAATCCACATTGCCACACCAGGACATGTATAGCATATATATGTAATTTTATAGAGATAAACATTGCTTATAAGAGAAATATAATTTCTGTATATTTCCCTTGATTCTATATATAGTCTCATTTCTCTCATTTTTTATATTCTTGCCTACATGCTAGAATTTAAACTTTCTAACCTTTCTGAAGTAAGAGAAGGCACAAGAAGGTAATGTAATTAAAATTTTGAAGGGAGTTTGTTTAGTGTATAAAATGCTTAATGTGAAATAAAAATGCCTAAATTATGATTAGTAGGGATTGAATAATCTCTTATAATGACTTTGGAAGTCAGTGTCCTTTGAATAACAGTATGTTGTTAGGTACTGTGGAGTCAATTCTGACTCATAGTGACCCTGCACAGGGTTTCTGAGGCTGCAAATCTTTACGGGAGCAGAAAGCCTCATCTTGCTCTCCTGGAACTGCTGGTAGTTTCCTGTGAACTGCTGGCCTTGAGGTTAGCAGGCTGATTCATAACCACTACACTACCAGAGCTCCATGAATAACAGTATAGTCAATATGTATTGAAATACGATTTTGCATTTAAATTACTTTTTAGCATATCCAGAATACATCTGCATTCTAAATTACAGTTGCTTCATAAAGTGTTCCCAAATGAAGGGTCAGTAAGTTCTGACTTTTTGCTACTGGCAGAAAGTTAGTGGAATATTTGTGTGTGTGTGTGTGTGTGTGTGTGTGTCTGTGTGTGTGTATGTGTTTATCTTAGTCTTGAAATTTCAATGAAAGTTGAATTATGTAGGCTTTATTGGTGAAAATAACTGTCAATTACAACAAACTTATAAAATAGAACATACACTGATAATCTTTTAAAATTGACCACTGAAAGACTGCTATCAGACCTGACAGCTGCGGGCGATGTGATAGCTCTGCTGTGGATTTCATTAAGTTAAGGAGCCCTGGTGCTTCTGTAGGATATGCACTAGATTGCTAACTATAAAGTCAGCAGCTCAAACACAC